GCTCCTTTTGGAGAGAAAGTAAAAGATGCTGTTCTTCGGACGCCTTGGTCTTTCTTCGGCTCCTGGAATATTATTAAAGAATACATACTCCCGAATAAAAAGCCAAGATAACGTGTTGATCAGGTAGCAACACTGACCAGAGGGCTGCTAGGTGTAGAACACTTGTGGTGGATATTACAATTAGCATCCGGGGTAAGACGATCAGGTTCAAACGCTCGACGATGTACATGAAGTGTGGGAGCGCCACCATCTGACGTTTCGGCTGAAAAAAAGCATATAAATATAGGACTATCTAGGACTAAACGTACAAAGTTTGTCCAGTTCCACCTCATCCACCTCGCATAAGCTATCGAGGAAACTGTTATGAGAAGGCAGAGTTATAACTATCTCTTTGCTGACAGACGAATTCTCCAAACTGACAGATGACACGCGGCGTCGCCACGGCTCCGCAACAACCGCTGCTACTTCCATTTACAAGTAATAATTCTGGACAAGTTGACCCTCAGAGACAGCTGACAATTCAGAGATTGCAATGAGCGTAAATAAAGATTAATGGATGAAGACCTCTGCTTGAATTGCTGAGAGAGACTATAATTGTGAGTGCTGGAACCTAACACCGTACAATGCCCTATACGGGTGCGGTTGTCGTGCTTCCAAAAACGATTTGTTATCTCCGCGAATAACGTTACGTACAGCTACAAAAACCGCATTATTTGGAGGCTCTTATCAGAAGGTTCAACTAAGAGAACGAAAAATCCACTGCGAGAAACAGTAAATTTAGGAAACAAGAATTTGCGAAAGCAAGGCGACACCTCGAAACTTCTATGTGACTCGAGAGAAGGACATGAAGGCAATTTCTCAACGAAGAAGAGGTTCAAAAGCGTGAAGATCGACATCTAATGCGAAATAATCCAGGCAATCAGGGAGAAAGGGCGGGAGCGACAACTGATACGCTGAAGATGAAGGCTAGATCAGCTGACGAAGCTACGACATGGTTTATCCAGAATTCTACCAAAACTTAAAGTATCTTAGAGAAATTCTTACATGTGACTGAGATGTCCGGTAAAGTAGCACGATGAACACGTCGCATGCTTCCTCCCAGCGAACTAAATATCCCTCCAGGTTTGTCATCTGTCCGTTCGCGGCGAATCCGCAAGGAGTTCTTTCCCGCGTAATCACTACCATTTCGTCCGAATTTTAGAGGAGCAACACTTCCGCCACCATAATCCTCAACTTCGGTGCTTCTTCCATACTGCATCGGGATGCTGTTGCTATCCTCATAGCTGTCCGTAGGGTTTCTCTCAAAACTGATGGTAACGGGATCGCCCTCAACATAGCGGCTGGCATCATTCCGTTCAAAACGAACAGGAGCTTCAACTGGAAAAAATGATTTCACTATTAAAAGATTAGACTCTCTAAAGGGCATTAAGAGGTGCTCACCAGACTCGTTCTTCTTTCTTCCTATCGCACTTGACCTCTGAGTTCGCGGTGGCATCTAGAGTAATTAAACATGATTTGGAGACTTGTGCATACGATTAGAATATCATACTTGAGAAAAAAACGATTCATTCTCGCGTACATAACAAGTTAGTGTGAGAAGTACCGAACAAAGACAAATAAATTCTTGCATTTTGCTATGTAAGCACTCGTAAAATATAACCTCTAACAGAGACAAAGAATGCAATGACAGGCCTATCGCTGTCCTCACTGCACCTGTTCGGGAGCGAAATTTGATCTGCTAAGGAACAGATGAAAAATACGTCAACACAGTGATCATTTGAGTGGTTAGCAGTCGTACTGTAGGTTTTTGAGATCTGGTGATGACAGCTAAGCTGTTAGTAGGTAAAGTGAGATATGCAAAGTATCCAGCACATGTTGCGACACTAGTTGTCTTTTGTTGCGTAATTTCCGACGCTTATGTGCGCTGATATAATAAATATAATATAACCTCTGACAGAGACAAAGAATGCAGACGCTGACAAAGCAGAATAGACCGTGCAAATTCGAGCAGACATTAAGCTTCCGTCCGATACATGATAAATTATGGCGAGGGTATCGCAACTTATCAATTATTGTTTCAAAAAAAAACTCTAAAATAGCTGCTTTCAAAAATCCTTGTTCGCAACAGGAAAAAGAAAGCATTTGAATTGAAGTGTTAGAAAATCGATTGAAGGTGTGGGAGAAGATTACATTGTGAAAGTTTCATTGTAACAGAGTTTAAGGGTTGGAAAAAAAAACTAAGTTGATGTCCGATGAAGCCTGCATTTGAGAATGAACGTATACATTTCATTAATTTCCTTGTAGATGTTTTTGCAAGAATAGAATTTTGAAAATGAATGCGTCGAAGGATATTAGACATGATGCTTCCATAGCGGATGAATTTTCACTCTTTAAATAGTTTAAAAAAGGGTTTGGAAAGAAAAACAGACGCCAAAACTGGTTGGGATACAGTGACTGTTTTACGATCTCTATGAATTAAAGAATGAATCATTTCATTTCCTTTTACTGTTCCAAACATCATATGCAAACCGCTGAAAAAGCAAATAATATCAACATATGATTATACATCAAAATGATGCTACACAGAAAAAGAGAGAATTAAACTAAAATAGCCCAAGTTGTTTGAGCAATTTGACAGCGGCTGGAAATGTCGCGAATAACCAAGAAAAAAGCGCTACCGAGCAGATTATCGTTGAATTAGCAATAGTAATCAAAAAGATAAGACACGCAGAAAACCTAGGCGTAACAAAATACACTCTAAGTTTAACTACTTAGTCTAGAATAAGACCATTTGAAGGGACACTTGATGGAGTTCTTATAAAAAGTAAAACAAATATGACTACATGTTGAATTAAGCTTATTCAGTGCAAAATTAGTTAGGTCAATAAGAGAGCGCAGGACAAAGGATACGGAACCAAACAACATTACCTGTATCTCGGAAGGGTTTGATATGCAGGAGCTTGAAGTCGTAAAGACTCCGTCTCCGCTGAATGTTTTATCGTTGTAGTACGTTTTAATGCTGATCTGACAATACACGGACAATAAGTTGTGCGAAATATTTAAATTCAAGGAAAAACGATAAAAACCAACTTTATTCTGAGGGAAACTCTTTTTTTCTCCGCGTTTGGGGCTTAACAAGAAGAAGCCGCCTTCGTTCACCTAAATAAATGACTGCCAGACACGTGCCGCATACTTCTTCTACACCCAATTATGCACAATGACCTGATGACACAATGGCCTACCAGAAGCAGGAAAACAAAACTCACAACAACTTCATCCATCGTCATGTTCTCGTCAATGTAATATCCATCATTCTGAAACTCGCTATTACAAGCAAATGCTGAGTAAGATAAAAAAAATTGATGTAGATGACTCTCGCGACTGCCGTCCGCCTGACGATATTGTACGCAGTTTGCAGAATACGCGCGAGAAAATTAAATTCAAAATGATGGTTGCAGCTTACCGCTTCTCTGGCCTTCTTCATCAGCCGTTTCACAGGAAACGTCATGCAGCCCAACATTCGCATTCGCCTGAATATGTAAATGTGTTCGCTTATTGCAGCTTTGTTTGCTCAGTTACTGAATTGAAGGCATTCATTTGGTAAGTGTTGAAGCAAATAGCAGATATAAGAAGTTGTAGATGAGCTAATTCTAACTAGCAAAGCTGAACTTACTGCTGATGACTGTCTGCTTTCAGTTTGTAGACACTTATAGTGAGCAGATCGCGAAAGTAGTTGTCTTCGTCAATGTAACTGGAAAAGAGCTCAATCATGTCATTTAATCTGTTAAGGACAGGAGCAAGCAAACTTTTCTTCTACTGTTGTTTCTCGCACTCTTAATGGCTGCCTCTCCTCTAAAACATAAACTCAGCGTTTGCCCCCTGAGTTGAGAAATAGCTGTGTCTTTTCGACAGCTCGACCAAGAATACAGCGATGGCGCTCACTGATAAGAATCGAAAATGTTTTCAGCGTATAACGCTAGGGTAAAAGAAGAGCACTTCGCACGAGCTAAGCTTAGAATCAGTCCCCTTTTCAATTTCGTTCACAGAAGGAAAGCTCTTGTAAATTAGGGAAACTTTCTCTTTAAGGAGACTTTATCAACTTATAGTGAAATTGCTCGCCAATTCCATTGATAAGTTTCCACTAATAAGTAATAAAGTATTTCTCGAAAATGGCTTTAAATGCAAGTGGGTCTCTAACAAACAGATTAGTTTTTCTTCACGCAAGTAACCCTTTTTTAAAAAGGTCTCAGAAGCCCTTACAATGTGAATTTTTCATTGAAAACAGGTCGATTTGTAGCCACCCAATTGCGGGTTTTGTAGGATTGTATCTTCTCTCTGTAGTATCTTTTACGACTATTTCCGCAGCGACGGCGCATTTCTACCTAAAGATAGTCAAAAGTGACAAAAACATCAACTCATGCACTTATTCTTAGAAAACAAAGATTATTTGTTCAAAACTCACTCTAACATAAGAAGAAATTTGTGGTTGATAGGGATCTTGGAAGTAAACAGCTTCATTGATTGTAACATTAAGTTGGCTTCCACATAGTGTCATGCTTAAGAAAACAATTCCTGAAAAGAATTATAGGATTATATCATTGTTATATTGACAACTTTCGGCTTGCCTTCACTTCCGACATTTTTCGCTACACCAGTTGGCAAACCAAAATTCTCGGGACGGTAGAATGTGGGTTTCACATTTTCAACGTGAGATCGGGTTGATGTGGGAAGTTCGCATAAATCCTGAAAATCAGTAAAATATCTAAATTTACAAGTTCCAAATACGAAGCACATACCTCACTATAGTAACTGCTTGGTCGTGATACTCCCTCAATAATTTGATTATAACTGTACATAGGAATACGGTTAGCAGTTGATGCACGAGGAGTTGAACTAACAAATTTTGGTCCATGATGTGGATTGGTCTTCGGTAAAGTTGATACGAAGGGCTAAATTAATGGTAAAGTACTTCAGGTATTATGCAGCTTCCTCATCTTTAGATTAAGGTAAAATGCCACCATCAGTGGGCCCCACATCAGTTATTGGTCATTCATCGATCAAATTTAAGATCAAAACAACAGTAGATCAAATACTGCCGCTGCAATCTATTCATCCGACAATCCAAAATACCTGGAATGATGTCGAAGTTGACGTCTGTTGAGGTCTCCAGTCTCGTTGTAATCTTAGTGAAGGCACGCTTGGTGGTTCGTCTATGGAGCTGCCTAAGACTGGGGACAATTCCTATAACAAAAGTCCACTATTTTCTCGATTAATTATCTTTAAATCTAATTTTACCTGTGGTACAGCAAATGCGGGTGGTACACGGTGCCTTTCACCTTTTTGTACTGGTGTGTAAAGATCCGAAAGGTCATCCTCATCATTTGTGGATTCCAAAAGGGATGAAATGTTAGACTGAATGGTTGACAATGAGCTGCTATCTGTGGGTTTAATGTGTCCTCGGGTCGAGACAGCGCATTGCGTTTTTCGCAAAATTCTGTAAAATTCAGTATAACAGTATTTACTTGTTTGCAGTTTTTGTCATATAATGCAATTCTGGCGATACTTATTCCATATACTATTGTATCAAATGTTGCTGAACGACCAGCTTCCTCTCAGCGTAATTATGACCCTTATGATAAGGGTAAACTCCCCCAATGAAGTATAACTTGTAGCCTCTTCACCTCTCACTTATTCATCATAGTAGGCGCAAGGGTTTGACCATAACTAAGACGACTTCCTCCAGATGTTTCGCCGAGGAGGCGTTAAGTGAATAAGGATTAGATACCTTTTATCTCTCAGCCATTTCTCGTCCGTTCTTGCCTTGGGCAGTTGGAAAGGTGGCAGAGATGACGAACCTTCGGAGCTACTATCCGAATCAGACTCTACGAATGGAACAGATAAAGTTGGTTTTTCATGATATGAATAGAGAGTTAATCACCTGAGTAAGAGTAGCCCTCATATTCGTAGCCTATTTTATAGCGCTGGAAGCCCTCTGGACGGGCCATTCCAAAATCGTAATCTAGAAGAGGGAAATATTCAATAAATTTATAAAAACTGTACAAGACAGAGAAAAATAAGGCATAGCGAAGCAAGTTAGAATGTAATGAGCACATCTAATCAATCAGCACACATCAGATAGGTCAGTATGGAGGTGAGTGCGTCACGCTGATTCACTACGGGTGGTCTTCTTCTACATTACCATAACCTCAGAAGGGACTCCATCGTAACAGAGATATTAAGTCAAGATTTGAGGAAAAATAATTATATTATGTCAAATAGTAAAGAATTCAGAAATGAGTAGTGATAGGATAAAATGACTAGAAGAGTTCTTGCTGATGCCAAACTGAGTATCATGTTACGATGGCGTATGGAGTGAATATATGCAATATAAGAAGTGACGTGGTGTTCGCAATGACGTTGCGTAACGATTACGATTATCCACAACGATAATCCACTAACCAGTCGCCAAAGGCACTAATGGATGAGATTAGATGCGTCCGTAAAAAGGTCTTGCGTCGAGCCAACTTGCCATAAACAATATTTAGAGGCAGTGTTTAAGATAGATTTATGGGTGATAGGCTTGGCGAATGTCTTTGCCGTGGCATATCTCAATAAAAAGGCTTATAAAATGTGAAAGACTGCTTAGTCAGTTATGAAACAACTACCTGGCGGTAGCCGGAACTGTAAAGGGAACAAAATTGTACTGAGAATAACAAAATTTTGAAACTGTTAAGTGGCGCCAAACCGTCATTTGGAAGAGACCAAAAAATAAGCCACACCTGTGAGGATCATCCCAAAGATAACGGATGCTCATGAAAACACACATAAAATGGGAGACTTATGGCGTTCGGACTTTCAAGCATTTTGCTCTAATCATCTCCAATTATATCATGTGAAGAAGATGTAAATGAAATTTTCATTTGGATAAAAGTCCAAAAAAAAGATATCAAAAACAACTTTGACAAAAGTATATCCCAAAGGTGTAATATAGTTTGGAAAAGACTCGAAATTTCAAAGACTATTCTAAAAGACAAAATCAGAGATATCGGGTAACAAATAAAGGAGGAGGGAAATGCTTAAAATTCAATACGGTAGGTAAAATTAAAGTCAAAAGCACAGATGTTGTCCATGAATAAGTCCTTTAACTTAGTTCAGGGATATGAAAAGGCACTATAGAAACAGTAAGCTATAAAATATGAGTGTACAGACGAGTTGAACAATAATAGTTGCATCTATTAGCATGCAGATGAGGTATAATTTATGTTATTAAGGACGTACTTGGGCAGCTGTGTCACACCCAAAGGATATGGTGACATCATTTCATGACGGTTCTGTGGATTTGTGAAGGAGGAGACAGTAAGGATGATCAAAATAAAGAATGTGGGAGTTTCCACAATTTGGTATCGAACATTTTGCGACAAAACGTTGTTTTGCCAGAGCAAATGACCGAGAAAGTACTGCAAGCCAGCTGCACAAACATTTGGTTACGTTTTGACACATGTCCTAAAGGCGCTCAGTTAAACAAACAGCTGGTTAATTGGAAAAAAAAGCTTGAGACTGCCATAGAAAGGATTATAAAAGAGGAAACCGTTCTGAGGGACTCATCGATCTATGGCACATCCATAAATGTTGACCTTATTGCGAAGAACGTGCCATGATCAAAGCAACAGCGCCAAATAAGACAAGCATTGCAACGCAACGCACGCAAGTTACGCAAAGATTTGCAGGGATATCGTTATGATCTGGACCGCAATAACCTCTTCTAAGGCGACGTTTTGCCTCTCTACAACAGAGACATTATTTTACCTACAAGTGATCGCATTCCAATCTTTTTTTTTTTGCATTAAAAAAGTGGTCATTTGTTCTCTAAGAACATTTATATCAAAGTATATCGTCGCAAGTTCAATTAGGGCGAGCATTGAAAAATACTTATCAAAATTATAATTGAGGTCAATAAATCCTTTCCTTATTCTTGGTTAGTTAGTTACAAGAGTAATGTAAAACAGAAATTCTTGGGGTGAGAAATGAATGGGCAAAGCGCAGTATGCCGAAGGTCCGAACTTCCCTTTTCAAGCAGAAAGTTTAATAGTTCAAAAGCTTTCATACGAACAAAAGATCAGGCATAATAGAATAGTTGAAATTCTGGAATCCGGATAAAATTTAATATTCATCTCCAGTTTTTGGGAAAGAGATTGAGCTCTATTATTTTGTAGACTTAATACTATCTTTTTTCAGGATAAGATTTGATGATAACCAATTGAGTGTGAGTTGAAGGTTTTGGTAAAGAAAATAAACACAAAGGAAACCCTCCACTCTTCCTAAGAGAACAGAATGAGGAGAGTATGAGGGAATATAAAGAAACACCTGTATGACACAGCTTTTTTTACGAAGTTAGTGTGGCGCAAGTCGACCTTCCATATAAAGAGTTAACTACAGCGAGAAGATAAAGTGAGTCAGAAACGGTAAATATTACACAACATAACCACTTGTGGTGAGAAGAGCAAATGCTCTCTACACAGCATGACATCGTTACAACATCATAAGCTATGACAGTGTGATTAACTACAGAGGATAAGCCAGCTTTGTTAGCAAGATAGCAAAAGGAATGCAATTTGATAAGGTTTGGCAAATAAGAGGAAAGCAGTGCGGCCGTAAAAATTCAAAATGAGAACGGACGCGATCAAAGAAGTAAGGCGCACAATGAACGCGATCGATCACGAGGCGTCTCAATGATTGACAGATGGTTTGAAGCCATATTCATCCAGTTATTACATGCCTACCACATTATTAACAGTACTTGAGGAGACGGGGCGATGAGTGGCGATAATTTGAGCAAGTGTGAGGGAAGGCGAACAGCCATGGGAAAGAGCGCAAGCACCATGGAACTTCGCGAAAATTGCTGGCTAAAGATTCACCAAAGAACAAAAACAGGTTACGCCGTTTAAACTGATTTACCGTGGATAATTTGAAGAGTTTAGGTGGGGAAGTGAGGGCAACTTCCCGCCAACGGAACAATTCAAAAGCAGACCTACCCATCTGGCGTAGTGGTTCGTGTTATTAGAGGTCAGTCAGATAGTGTGTACCAAATGGACGCAGCAGAAAGATGGGTCACTGGTAGAGAGCGTGCATTCTGGGAGATGAGGGAATAGAAAACGCCTTCATAAGCGTCACTTAAGTAGAATAGTATTCGCACCGTATAATCCACTATTACTGGCTTTGTATGACCTGTGCTCAACACAACAGAAATACACAAAGGATGGGAGCACATGGAAGTGAAAAAAAAACCAAGATAGGAGAATTTACTACTTTGTTTACTTTGACTTGTGAGAATATAGCGTCATTATATTATAAACGGTATCTTAAGCGAATGGGAGGTAACATTTCCGCTGCTAATTGGATAAATTTCAGTGTCCTAGCTATTTAGTATATATGTCGTTCATTGCGGTTAACCGCGTTCAACTCTTTCAAGTATAGATACCTTTTTGTACAAGTTGTTCTTATGGTTATTCTATGACGTTTAATTTATTCCCTATTTCTGTTAAAACTAGAGTATATTGCACACAAATACAAATAAATCTTTCAAACAGCCAAATAGATAGAAACGTTACACTTTCTGAGAGCTTCGGCCCAAAATAGGCAATTTCACTTGAAAAATTGTTCGGCGTCAAGCATACTGCGAGCGAATCTCTAAACTGCTGTAGTGAATTTTCAAAATTTGTTACTGTTTGCTGAGCAGGCTGTATTTGCAAATGGCTAGAAAAAGGTATATGCAAATAATGTTGGGATAATGACAGGCTGCACAGTGGTAAGCAGGAGGTCGACACTTTCACCTGGGATTTATCAAACCATATAGCTAAACAACATGCCTATCTTGTCCGATTTTTAACTGTTGCGAATGTTTACACCCACTTCCATCTGATAAAATTTCTGTCGACTGCCGACAAACAAAACGCCATGACAAACAGTACAGAATAAAATTTTAACCAACATTATAACAAATTAAAATTTGAATAGGCGTAACCACTCGTTGTAGCACAGAATGAGTCAAAAGACTAGACGAACTATATTATCTGAAAGATTTTTTGAGCGATTGCGATCCGCTGTGACAATATCGCTGTAAATAAAACGAGAACAATTCGCTACAGGCACAGGTAAAACGAATGATTAAAACAAACACGGGTAAGTTTTCTAAAAAAATCGTTGTGGATCTACCGCACCTTAAAGGTAGATGTGATATTCGATAAGTGGTGCTATGTAAGGGCAGGCATTTGAAACGAGTAATTACAGTACAATAGTTAC